TAACGCAAAACTTCTGACTGCCAAAACGATTTAAAAAAATTACTAAATAATTCAGAACGTTCATAAAAAAATCAAAGAAAACGAAGTCAAAAATTCGGAAAATTGGCTTTAAAATGCAAAATGTTCCAAGGCAAAAATAAAATAAAAATTTTTAAAAATCCAGTTTATTTTGCAATAACTGTTTTAAAAAAAATTTCAGAAGGATAAGACTATGCTTCTGGAACACGACGTTATAATCGCATTTTTCCAAATCACAAAAAGCGCATCGCTTGATAATTCTGCCCACAACGCAGACAAACCAGTGCGCGCTGAATGTCGCCGCTTGTCGCGCCCTCACCTTTGGCCAAAAAATCACGGGCAAAAAAAAACAAACAGATCTGTTTGTCGGATGTCAACAGGCGAATAATGAGGCAGATAGCTGCGGCGTTATTTGCGCTGGGCAAGCAGCCTGCAGCTGACAGGCACATATATTATTTTATGCAAAAAGGGAGTACACACACCCGCATACTACGGCATCAGCAGAAACTGGGAGCAGCTGGATAATAAACGCACATGGAGCAGCAAAACTGGGTCTAACACGCAAACTGCACAACTCCTTCATCCAGCAACCATGGCAATTTGTCACTCTACTATTTTCATTCTCGTATATAACATGTACACACCGAGAACAAGCGACTTCTATTACGTTTTCCTATCAGCGAAATGTTTCTGTGTGTTGCTCAGACTGTATATGTGTGTATATACGCGATGAACAGGCGTAATGCGAAATTTTGTCCGCCAACCGTTTGATGATGTGAAAAACGTCGATACCACGTGACCGGCAAAGCCAATAAACGGCGGGCGATCAGCGCCGGCAACTGCTACCGTGTGTGCGCCCGCGCGCCAATCGAACGGCGCGTTTCCGCTGTGTAAAGTTTTTAAAGTCGCGGTAATAAAAGAAGTTTATCTGCCGATGATCGAACTTGGCAAACAGCCGGTCACCATAAGACGGAATTTTTCCACATTTTTTTTAAAATTATTTTCATGAATTTACAATTTCGTGTTCCCACATTAACTTGATGTATTTTTAACAGTATTTTATTTTATTAAGTTTTCACCTTTTTATCTCATTTCAAATGAAACATTATTGTCAGAAAAAATATTTCCAGTTTGTATTATTTCTGATTTCTTTTTGATAATTTCCTATATTAATTTGATTAACTTTTAATACCGATTTATTGTTACTTTACTGTTACATAATTTCCAATTTACATAATTCGAAATAATCTGGCTAGCAGTATTATGTAAATTCCGGCAAAATTATTTACCAAGTCATGAGCAAATCTACTGCTTTTATTTTCTGGTAAAGCATTTCATTACAATATTTTAGGTACTTAATTCAAATCAGTCAAAATACAGAGCACTTACAAAGTATTTTTTAATCTAAAAACTAATAGAAAAGCATCCAATAAAACAAAAAAATTTTAGTTCACGGCAATAGTCTGCAAAATAATCCGGACAAAATATTTAACGAAAATATTTTCTGAAAATATTCCCGCCGTCTTTTAAATCCGCGCTCCACCCTAATTAGAGAAAATAGGCCAAATATTCTGCCGACGATTTTTTCTAAACTAGTTTAAAATTACGCCGATCATGGCAGTGCGCGCGGCTTGGATGAGCGGTGGCCTATCAGCTGAGTCGATAAATCTTCCTTTTCTTGACATGCAAATTGGAATCAAAGTTATGTTTTACGCAGTGCACGGCGCAAAGCGCAGCCGGAGCGGCGGAGCGTGTGTACCGGCGCCTAATCACGGTCGGCTGCTGTACGTACTCTGTTCCGGCTGGATCAAGCCAGATTAGACGCTGGCGCAGGGACCGTGCTGTGCCCCGTCCCTCTCCGCCCTCCATCATCACCAACATTTTTTTTCCACCGAGGAACGGGATGTAATCATTTTCCCACAATTTCCAGCACTTTACGCACTGCGTTTATCGTCTAATCATCTGTGCGGGCATGCGATGCATTTATCACCGATTTGATGGAAAACAACAGCGCCAGAAAATGAAGATCAAAAATAAGCAAAACACATCTGCAACCATTTTTTACATAATTAAATGTACAACCGTATCGCACAAAACGTCGATTTTTTGCCACATTAATGCAAAATTTCATAGAACTAATGGTGACATACCATGTGTATTCAGTATGTGCATGTGTAATAAATAACTATTAATACAAGTACATATCACGGGTATGCAAATTTTTCCAGATATCAGGATTCATCGTAGACTAGTGGCTGCATAAGGTGGCAGGTTTTCACTGCAGCACACAATAAAAATATTTAAATCTTATTATTCGATGATAATCACGATTAACGAACGATAATAACGATTACGAAAACATATAGTTTTTTCTCTCATAAAAATTGCAGCTGTTAAAAGACGCCACAACTCTGCAGCTAAAACACCTAAGGAAAATAACAAAAATAATTATTAAAAGAAAAAATCATTTTACTGTCATTTACATTTTACAGAGCGAACAAAGCATACTACAAATACCGGTTTTTGATACTATGAGAACCTGCCAAATAAATCAGCAAATTTATTGTTATTTATGAAAAAACAAATCGTTTATAAAAATGCCAGTCGTTTTTCTACGAGAACTTGCTAAATAAATTAGCGATTTCACTATCATTTATGAAAACATAAATCGTAATGCAGATGCCGGTTAAATCGTAATGCAGATGCCGGTTACAATAGCTCTTGAAACAAAAGAACGCAACGACTGGTCCATTCTTCTCCAAAACGGGAAAGCCGGGATCGATTTCCGAGCAATCCCGTTAAGCCTGACTAACCGCGTAAGAGACGCTGAGAAAAAAAGCCAGTGGGATGCAGAGGGATTTGCCGGGGATGGGTATACACTATACAGTATAGTATTTCCCCGTTCTACACGGTAACCTACACTGTCGTCCTTTAGGAGAAAAAAGCCCACAGCGACAAGAGTATCGCTGCCGCATGTGCAACCGTTCATCGTCACAGCAGGTAGACGAGCGCGTGCATGTTGCCAGCGACACGGGTGCCAGCAGGATCACTCCCACCGGGCAACACGGCCCCCCTTACGCAATGCAGCACCGCGCTTACAGTTAATACCTTTCGCCGCGCGGCAAAAACAATCACTGATAATTGGGCATCACATGAGCGAAAGTGCACCGCGCGTCGTCTTTGCGCGCTACGGCTACGTACCGATGAGATGGTCTTATGTAAAAACTTAAACAGTTCCCGAATTTGTACGGTTATATGTTTGTGTAGTCACTTCAGTGCGGAAAATGTATCCAACACGCGCAAAAATAACGACACAACAAATCGCCAGGTAAGATAATTAAGATAAGTATCCCATTACTGAGAATTTTTATTTAAAGAAAATACTAACAAATCCAAAAGTCATGAAACGAGTATTATGCATTATCCAATATCCGAAAAAAATCACCAGTACTTCACGCTCGTATAAACTGTAGTGCTCCGCCGCTCCTACATTATTCCCTTTAATTTTGAAAATTTACCAAGCCAAAATTCATTTTATTTCATTATTGACATTTAGCAGCTTTTGTTCTGAGTGATTAACTGTTGCCAAAGGAATCCAAAAAAATTTTGACTTTATTTAAATAAAATACTCGCATCACACCAAATAAACGCGCCGGCACTAAATTAATGTTGACAATAAAACTGACTAAAAGCGGAATAATCTATTATAACAAAAAAATTTATGCAGCAACAAAAACAACTACTGTAATAAAACCAAAGCCAGGACAAAAAAATCAGACACCAAATAAGATTACTCATACGTAAAAATTAACGAAAAAAACCCAAGTTTCATACAAAAAAATATATGTGTAGCAATAGCCTACGAATTTTAATTGTAATTTAGTACGAATAAAATTTGTTAGTCTGGAATAGTTATTGCTGATATTTTCTTCGAATTAAAAATATTTATCATAATTTTTCAGGTGATTTCGGGCGGGATATGACAGTTTCTAAAACCATGGACACAAACAAGAGCGCTTAGATAATCTTCCACTAATGCCTGTGACAGGCATTTAGCCACAGAATTCAATAACTCGAGTGCCGAAAAAAACGTCGGAGCAAAGTGGAATTTATCCATCGATCGGCAAACACGCAACATCCACACGCTACACAAATACACGCACACATACAGAGTCACAGGGATCCCCTTTCACGACGGCCTCCGTCGTCCGTTTTCTGGTTTTCACCAGCAAAATCAAACTTGCCCGAAAGTAGGCCATCGATTACGTGACGATGCGCAATCGAACTTTAAAGTTTAAACACCCGACATAACACACCACTACAAGTGATGTAAGGGCAATTTGCCGTTTTTCCTGTTGCCACAGTACAGTTTTCCATTAGGATGGGTCTCGAAAAATAATCATGTAAAGTACCAAACCAACCTGTGCCCGAAACAGCACTAAAAAATTATGAAACATTTAAAAAAATTTTAAACCAAATTACAAGAAAAAACGCAAGAAGAACAAAAATCGTATAAAATCCAGAAACCCCCCACACGGATGACAAGTACAAATCCGAAAAAATAAAAATAAAATTACATGTACATATTTGAAAAATTATGCGCATTTACAATTTATTTATTTACCTATTTAATTATTTTTGGTAAAATCTGTTTTTTCATGTTAAATTTGGCAGGTGAAAGTTCTACTGAATTTGAAAGTAACTTATTCGCTTTAAATAAACAAAGCAAGCAAATTATAGCTTGAATATTCAAAATATCAGTTTGAAATATGTACGCACACAATAATCATGAAACTGCGCATATTCATAACTTGGTAAAAACGAAACAACCTAAATTTTTGAATCCATAGTTCTGCTGAAAAAAAATTATTCTGTGGTATATAAGTAAGAAAATCAAGTAAAATACACAGCTAAAATGAAAACTGACACGAGCAGGTTCGCAGTTAAGCGTTCAACGCAGCACAATCCAAAGCAAATCTCACCGGAGCAAACAACGAAGAGCTTCGTCCTTCCCTGGTCATGATACCATGCTGTCTTCAACGTACTTTTGCGCAGATCGAAGACCCACTGGAATCCTCTCCGAAGTGATGGCTTCCCTAAATTCCTAATCAGACAGTGCAACGCCATGTCGAACAACAAAATAAACTTATACACACTACACAAAACTTAAAGCGTTCCTGAATCCTTAGGAAACGCATGCGTTTTCGTTCTCCTGATGTCCGCGCCATCTTGGGGACTCTTACCTGGTTCTTTGAATTATCCGCAGACGGGAAATATTATTAACAATCCCTTTACAAGTAGTGCACTTGCACCAGAGGATACGATCGGTGTTTGCAGAGCTTGTTCTGCAAAACTGAAATCAAGAACCGTCTATCAAATACAAATACGGTCTGGTCTGAGTTCAGAACTGCGACGCACTGCTGAAATATTTTCACTTTGAGTGCAAGGTGGCTGTCATGTGGTCCGCCGCTCACGGCTGCAGCTACTTCACAATGCCGCCACTTCCGTTTCCGGTGCACACAGCACGTATCAGAAATTAAATTCGAATATTCATTAAACAGGTCAAATTTCGAATAATTAAATGTAAACTATGGAAAAAGTAGGTATTATTCTACAACTACAAGAACGGGAAGCTTTCAGATGTCATTGCCCAGGTGCTTTCGCATGCCAGTCTTTTGGCTCGGTGTTGCGATGCTGCTGCTGCCCAAGCCGGCAAGCCCGCAGCGCAATTAAGCTTAACTACTGTACGGTTTAAGTGTCCACTGTCCAATATACAGATGTACTGTAATTATCCGGAACAATGATGTACTGTACAGATATGCCGTATAAGCGTCACATCTCCAGCCTTTGGCATGCATAATATCTGGACTGCGGCGGCTCTCAGATGTATCATGTTTGCATTGCAGCTGGCTGCTGTTGATCTGATCTGAGTGGTAAGAAAAAGGCTGCCTTAATTAGTGTCGGTTTGTGAAAGTGCCTTGCGAAAACACATTGCAAGCAATTACCACACCAGCACCACAACATTTGATGTAACCGCCAAAGCGCGCTCGAAAACAAAGGGCACAGGCAATAAAACCCAGCAATCCACACATTTCATCAGTAGGAATTAAATGCGATCACCAGCACATATTTCGAGAGCTTCATTAAGCGTTTCTTGTCAAAGTGCAAGCGACAGCAAATTCAAATATTGTCCGTAAAATATCTATATTTCGCGAATATGGCTCGGAATAGAATTAAACGTTTAGCAGCTATCGCTGATTTGTAGCGATTTGAGAGCCGCCGCAGTCCAGATTGTCTTGAAACGGCACACCATCGGCTTCAATTCTAAAACAGTGTGTATAATTATATAATTATACATATGTGCCCAATATATACAGTATCTGCCTATCAGCTTCATCGTTTTTGTTTGAGCGTCCAAGTGTACAGATTTGGTCAGGTGAGGTTCATTATTGACAACGCTTATCCTCACGCACAAAATTTGGTCAGATTTTTCATTTGATATTCTTAGGTTTTACTCGTATAACACATTTTTTATGACGTTGCCGACTGCATATGTACGTGTACTTGTACAGTTGTAAGTACTCATATTCAGTACAGTGTGTCGCATTGATCATCAAAATTTTGGGTGCACTACCGTTAATTTGAAATGGTCAAAACATTATGAGCAGTGTTTAAGGAGAAGTTATACTATGGCAGCAAGATCAAAAATAAGATTTTCGAAATTCTACAGTCGTAATAAGATCACATGTATTAATGGACGAAAGTCAGCCAACATTTGCCATCAACAAAAAAAGTAATCCAAGTTTTTTAATTGCTCTCCGGACAGATTCTCAAAACGAAAGAATGCGACAAAATGCGCATCTCGGAGTGCAAGACGGAAGGAAGAAGAACGGAGTGCAGTGCAAGACGGCTTGAATAGAAGCGGCCGAAAGAACGTCTGTTCCCAGTAAGCGAAGAAAGACAAAAGTGGGTAAGGCTTATGACAGTGGGCTTATGACAGCTTTCCCTACGATGTGTACTCGTACATTTGCATTTCTCATTGTCCGAATGGAATGTTGTGTTTGACCTCGCCTAATTGGCGCAATAAAAGCCGCGATCAATAGCTGGGACCGTAATCGCACCTTTTAGTGACCGCGCGCTTCTAGCCTTCTACACAGCGCCGACCAGTGGTCACAACTGGTGCGGTGGCACTGCAGGCGTAAAAGTGGTAAAACCAGCAAAATCGCAGAACAAAAGAAGGTTCTTCGCCACGTTCTGAAAATTTTTCCAAAAATTATTTCTAAACTCAATAACAATTTGCAAAGATCTCAAAAATTTCTGACATAATTTCATTTGATCAGATTTAAGAAAAATCATTTTCGAGAAGAACTGGAGCGTTTTTGTAAAAAATATTTTATGTATTCTGTAAAAAATAAAAAAAAGTTACTTTGGGTGTTAAAAAGTTTGTTTTTTTCAAGAATGGTTGAGCTTTTGGAAAAAACGCTCCAGAGAACTTTAGTCATTTTAGCAGAGCACATCGCGGCGCTTGAAGGAACAATTTCAAAAATCTGCTTGGACTGTTATTGCTTCCGGAAAAGAACGGCATTTGATCAGTAACTTTTGCATTTTAAATACGTAGCCTAACCGATTTCAGACTTTCAATGTATTTGTATGTGTTGAAAATGTCACAGTGTTAGGTCAGATGTGCAGTTACCAGCGCACGCATTGTGCCAGTGAGAATACTCGAAAAAGGTGGAAATCGGTTATATGATCTCTTCTTAAAGACATTCCCATGAAGCGATTTCAATGAACTACACACAAAATTAAATTTAATTGCGAAACAGTATCGATAATGCGTCCATGACGACATGCCTCATGCCGAAATGGTCGGGCAGCTGCACGCGCCAACTTTAGCGCAACGATTACTAAAGTACTCTGCTTATTTACAGTTTCAGCCGCAAACAAGAAATAACTGAACAAAAATTCGCATGTAATAAATAAAAAAAGCGGAAACACCAAACAATAATTTGAAGAGTTTTGCTAATTCATCGACAACGCTCATAAATTTAGCCAGCGCACTACGATATGCTTACACAATTCTTCTATTGACTGGCTGAATGCTGAAGATGACAGAATGTTACCGCACTGCCACTTGAGAATGACGATGATTCGTACTATTGACTAACTGACTTCTGATTCATTTTCATTGACTATGATTTACAAGGTAATTACTTACCACCCATTCACAGTTTAAATTGATTGCATTTCGAAATTTCAATGGAAACTTTCTGTAACTAAACAATTAAGCAAACACAACGAAAACCGCTTGGAGAGCGCGGTCTTCCGCATTCGTTCGCGTTTAACTTTGGCAAAGGTCACTGGTCTGGACCGGGACCGGTCCACGATGGGCCCGATGACGAAAGGTATTATCGACGTCGTTGAATTCCCACAGAGTGCGCTGGGTTTTAGGCAGACGACCTTTTCTATCGGAAAGAGATCCAGACAGTTCTTTTCCCAGACTTCCAGCAGACGAAACTGCAGATTTGATACTGCACCATCTGAGACTCATTCACACGGCACGAAAATGCTAACGCAGTTATCAGGACAAATTTCTAATTTTTTCAATGAATAACGAATCAGCAATACAACAAAAATATCCAAGATTAACAGTGTAAAACCTTTGTTTCACTCAGGATCGCCGATAAAAACTGAATGCTACAGCTACATAACGGTTTATCCCGAGAATTAGTTGAGAATAACAAAGCAAGCACTACAGCATCTGAATTAAAACAACTGCGTACAACTTCAGTCCGGACAATCCAAACGGCAAATTTACTTCAAACATGCAGCTCTCATTAAATTGTTGTGGAATTCTCATTGAATCAATTGATGGTAGGCAACCAGCCAGCAATTAGCAAACTACGATATTCTTCAATATTTGTACCTTATAAATTGAGCACCGTTCGTGTAATTTGTAAATAACACGATAATGAGATTATTAGAATAATTCTATAATGTACGCATGAATATATGAACATTCATTTTCCATAATATACGAACGTTTCGTTTCACGTTAGCCAGTTTGCGCTTTATTTTCTGAAAATTTGTTGCAGAATGTACACGTGATCATATGTCCGCGAAAAGGGTTCCGCAATGTTCTGCCTACTGTTCTCTAGATTCTGCAAGCGTATAATTATTTACTTATCACTTATCAGTTATCACTATTATATGTGGTTTTTTTGTACTGTTTACTAGCCGAACTTTGTACCGATCACTTCAGGCAGTTGTTGTATGGTATGATTGTACCAAACCTTCCATTAAATTAATATTTTATTAATACCATGCAAGTATGTACGTACTCGTACTGTCCTGTACATAGTTTGTGCAGTTGTATTTTGTACTCGACCCATCATCATTCGATCACACGACTCACACCCTATAGTGCATTTTGCACTAATTTCTTCTCGCATTTTTTACCAAAGCGGAATACAACCACCGAAACATTACACTATACAGAAATCACCAGCAGAATCTTATTTACAGCGTAAGCTGTCCACTGCGGCACGACGCAGCATCCGCAGTGAGCAGGCAAACAGCAGCGGATCCAGGATGGCCTGCAGCGCATACAGAACATCGCCCACGTGACTCAACCCCGTCAGTTCCACATGCCCGAATGTCTGTATCATCCCGTAGACCTTGGACGGAGTCCAGCATACCACAATACTAACCGTCATGGCGGTCAGCACGGCAAACCCGTAGGAGTGGTCGCGCTCGGCCTTACAGGGCGCCACTAGCGAATTCCCCGTCAGCATCGAATTGTACGTATTCTCCAGCACCTTCTTCATATCACTCATCGGTACCTGCAAAGAAACTAGTCGCAATCAAGGGAAAAGCGGTACTCAGCAAACGTTCCAGGTTTTCGGAGCAAAAAAATGAGCACGACTTTCGGTTTCCGCGTCTTAATTCCGACCGCATGCGGTTACGGCTTCTGCTGCTGTTTGAGCTGGAAGCCCTTACGTAGCATTACGCTTTACAGTGAAATATTTAACGTCTTATGCTTCGGTATTGTCTGTGATACCTGGTTGACCGCCAACTGCAGCTGGCGTACCCGGTACTTATTGCGTTTCCAACAGAGGAACGGATAGCACACCACGATGACGATGACCGGGAGGACGTACACCAGCACCTCCAAGACCTGAGCGTAGACCAGTTGGGTCCCCATAATGTGCGGGACGCAGCCCAGACTGGCTTCCAATGTGCGGTGGTAAAAGAGCCCGTCGAGGATGAGCAGCGGACCCGGGAGAAGGTGCGCGTAGATCCACTGGAATAAGCAGGTCAGTTTAGCAAAACGCTTGGAGTGGTGGTTCTTATAGGAGACCGGCGCGAACAGCGCCCAGATGCGGTTGACCGTGACAAGGAAGTGGGCGTGTAGGGTGACAGCGGTGGAGACCCAGTCGCTGTACATCTGCACGTAGCACCATGCTGATTGTGCGTACCTACAATAAAGCGCGCTACTATGTATGGTGCCAAGTGACCTTGACCTTTTTTATACAACTAAACGAATGCCGTGCATGCACCGGTACATATAGTAATAATCAATCAATACAGTTGCATATGGCGTATTGTACGTGCGTACAATACATGCATGGGTTGCATCCAGTTGAATGATAATGTCATCATAATGATAAGCTGCTGAACAACCGCGAAAACCAGCGAATGAATATATTAGTAATATGCTAACATTAACCAGGTACTTACTGATCAAAACAGAGCAGTTGCTCGAATTCTACCAGTATACTTTTATCGCATGAGCCTTTATCTGAATTGCATTAGCTGCTAAATTTGATAAATTTTTTTTATGGTAACTGCACTGTCTGCACTAGAAGCAGTTGAAACTTGAAGGACATTTGTAAAGTACGGTATGAGGTGTACAATCGTAATCTTTTCTTTTATAGAAAACTGGTGACTTTTCTACTGCCAGTCTGAATTAAAAAAGGTTGATTTAAATCGCGAATGCATCGGACTCCGTATTACGTATGCGTGCGTGAGTGCACAGTACCTTACATAAAAATATCTTTGAGCATTTACAGTTTTACATTCTGTAAGCGTTTTTATAGTTTACAATTACGTGAGCATTTACAGTTTTACATTCTGTAAGCGTTTTTATAGTTTACAATTACGTGAGCATTTACAGTTTACATGTATGTACAAACATTTACAATTTACATTCTGTAAGCGTTTTTACCGTTTACATTTACGTTCGTGAGCATCTACAGTTTACATTTATGTGTTGTACATATATACAGTATTTCAACAATTAGTATGTTTAGCTTTGCATTTTACAATTCTTATATACTGTATGTTAGCAAATAAGATGTCTAGCTTGAGGGGTTTTTTAAAAGGGACACTTGTAACCGACCAAAACTTCCGGACGACCAAAACGTCTGCCGGACGTCTTGGTCGACGGTTACAGACACCTTAGATTATCCCAAAACAAAAACAAATACTGCGGATTTTGTCATTCTACCAGGGTATGGCCAAGACGTCCACGATACGCAGTGGATTGGCCAGACAATGCACCAGATTCGCCAAGAGCAGATTGATCAAATAAACGGTGAACGGCGTGCGCAGATGCGGATAGCGGATGAAGAGATGCAACACAAAGAGGTTGGTCAGCAGCGTGAGGACAGTAAAGACCAGCTGGCCAATGGACGGAAAGCTCCAATGATGATTAACCGCATCATATCTGTTATTGCTCGCGTTTGCAGACGAAGGCACGCAGGTATTAAACGCAAGCGTGGAATTAAAGGCATCAGTGGCAAAAATTACAGGATTGCCTGGATTAATCATTAACATAATCCTGGATTATTTTTCGATACTAATAATTTCCTACAGATTAAAATTCGCGAAGCATCAGAAATCCTTAGTTTAAACGTATACGATGACGCCGTAATCGCAATATGGATGCCACGCTGTTGGTCTCCTTTGTGTTGTTGCGGAGTGCAGTGTTTTTGCAGCGATGCGTTGATCTCTCACTATTAACCTGAAATGAGTGTCTTATGTAACTGGTTAGCGCCTAAAATAGGATTTCCTCTTTGATCTCGGTTTGGCGGGATTTGATATAAACTCCGTTGATCACGATAGGTGCGTGTTATGGCAATCAGGATCCGCTGGCGTTTTTTCATGAATGAACAAGATACCTCCACTCAGGCGGCGCTAATGCACAGTGTTTATGACGGTGCTGCGCATACATATACCACGGTTAATAGGATGTTTATGTAACCGGCACTTGTAGGTGTTGCGGCAATCAGCGCGCGTGCGGGATAGGTCGAGTGCTTCCCAGCCGATTAGCACATCCGCCTGCCATCGGGATCCACAGTGTGATTAGATTACCCAATGTTTAACAGGAAAATGTGGTAGTTTATGTAGATGTGGCCATAAACACCCGGTACATGTGCCAATACTTACATAATCTTCCACGTCAAGATTGGCATAACTACCGGTGTTTTTGTGATGCTGCGGGAATTAGCTATCGTTTGACCGGATGTACACCGTCAGGTGCCAATCCATATTCAGTTTGCAGAGGGGGGTTCCTTCCGTCATCGAAGAAATTAAAATAAGCGGAAATGATAAAGTTTGCACACTTCATGAATACTGTGCATCCGTCGACTGTCTTTCTAGTTAATTGTGCGTGATGCACAACAACAGCACAAGTTAAAAGGTTTCGCGAAATGATACGACTATGATAATTATGCGGGAAATAATTTCTTAGTCATTTGTTATGTAAGATAGCGTGTGTCAGTTCAGTGCAGTGCAACGCGTGACCACACATTATGATATTATGATTCTATGCTATTAGGGAATAATATCAAACAATATGGAAATGCCACGATTGCTCTGAGAAACCGATGCAACGCCGCGATTACAATATAGTATCTTCATAGCTGATGGATACATTATAAGATGATGTCAATACTCATCAAACACAACAATTAACAACAAATACACGCCAATTATTACAAAAATTATAGTAAGGTGTTAGGTAGCGTTAGCTGAAAATGCTGCAGATCTTCCGATTTATTTATTAACGGTGCACTTGCAACCAGACCGTTCCTGGACATTAGCAGCGGCTGTGCAACCGGCACCGCATTTTCATTCTTTCGCCGTAAATTTCGTAGTGTAATACTGCTGGCCACAATCTGTCCGAGATGTACCAGCGCCGCAATGGAAAACACGGTGAAGGTTATACCGTCAACGAACACGGGAACGCTGAGCGCAGCGATGACCAGGGCGATGGACGATAGCAATCCGACGATGCTCAGCAGCAGGATGACGGACAGCTGGTTACCGTGTGTGCGTAGCGGTGGGGCATCGATATCTTTGCGTCCAGTGACCACGCCGAACGTTCCGGCGATTACGAAGAGAATGCCCATGGTCAGCTGGGATCCGTACAGGACCGGTTTAGAAATTTCATCCGAGGGTGAAACCGAGGACAATACTGTAATGGAAAGAAGGGTTACATAACTGCAGGCTGCAGCTAACCGGCTTCTATTAACTTTTAAAATTTTATTCTACATAGGTATTAGATACTTTTTACTTCTTCAGATTTTTCTAAAAAAAACTAAATTAATGTTGTAATAACGTTAAGCCGGCCGCCGGAGCATCAATGAGTCGGATTGGAAATACATACTTTGCACATATACTCTGTATATTCGGCATTTTAAAAAGACTGTCAGATCAAGCTACGGTAGCTAGTGTTTTAATGGTTGTCAATTGTAGTACAACGGCTAACTGCTGCACAGCGACACCTAGACTGATATATGTTGAAAAACGTAACACAAACGTTGCACAGCATCTTCAAAGTAATTTTTTTCCCATCTTATTATTTAATTTAAATCAGCGATAAGATAATTTCTAGTATTTATTAGTACTGCTGACATCGGTGCAATCGCTCGCATTGCAGGGATAAATGCTCGAGATACAAACAAAATTAATGTAATAGAAAAGTCCAAATGCAATGATTCAATTGATAGATTTAAGTACAAAAAATAATAAATAAGGTTTTCGATTTTATTATATTTTCAATACATTGTAGATTATTTATATTTGGGGAAGAACTAAACTGTAAGCAAACAGGAAATAAGAAACAGACACAAAAAGTAAGTAACTCTACAGAGTTTGACGCTGGTGGAAATGTAAATTCACTAAGTACTCGCACTGAGTTTTACCAATAATAGCATAGGCGATGGCAAACATTCCAGAGACGGTCTGCAGAACACCCAAGCACAATATTGCTCGCAGATTACTCACTGGAATCTGCTCGGTAGGCATGGAAAATTAATGTGTTCGTACTCTGTAGTAAAAAAAGTTTTCAGAAAATCACAAGCCGATGTTGTGCACATTGCACACTATGCGTAATTGCATATACAGTACTGTAAGTATCTGTATGCTTTTGGATACATCGTCTAACAACAATAACGGTTCATGTGTACTGTTTAGGTACTGGCGAGCGTGATAATTATACAGAATGCGGTGCATCAAAAACACATAAAAAAGCCCACCGCGACCGTTAGTCTTGCAGTCGATGCTGCAGTCTGCAGATGTCTACCGCCGCGGGCGTCGTTCGGCCTCGTTAACATATTGTCAATGTGGATTAACATAGCACTAAGTAAATGCCGGTAAATGCAATTCACGACACATTACAACATATCAGAATTTTATTAGCGCTTTAAACTTTCATTACCGGCGAACAAATTACCATCGCTTACTGTCAAAATGCTTGTACGAATTTTGTACTGCAACGCTGCGGCATCTATTGTATTACATTGCTGCGCGGCATTTGTGGATTTTATTTTTACCGCGGTCGATGCGGTGAGATGAACGTGTCGATCGGAAACGCGACATGTTCATGAACAGCCTAATTGTGAGATCGCTACCGTCAGCTTCGATTAATTTTCACGTTTCTTTTAACTGAAAACTCGTTCTTCTCATGTATGGTACATTTAACGATCGGACAGTATTTTGAGCATGACAGACGCGTAATTATGCTGGCAGCCAAAACGGCCGGTGTGCATCTGAACGTGCAGCATTGTCGTATTGAGCGCAATAAACATGATGCTAAATGGAAGAGCCGAAATTAATGACTGGTTCACGAACAACACTATGGCTTTTTGATTTCTAAGTATGTAAACAATTTAATAGCTGCAGCAATGCATCTCGGTTTGTTAATGGTTTTTAGGTTATAGGAAGTCCCAAAATCATGGAAGAATTTAAGTTAGTGTGCAATATATTGGATCAAGCATCCACAGGGCTTTCAAAGCAGTCCAGATCGATATTAGTATACACAACCGATGTGGAAATTTTAAAACTGCCTTTGCTCATTAACGAGCAAATCAACAAACTGGATTCCGCCTTAACCAATAAATTTACTGCCCGTTTATTATACAAAAAACTAAATGGCGATATTCTCTGGTTATGCGAAGAACTGGAAGACGCAACGAAATCGCAAGCATCGGACCGATCCGTATTCATCGAACTGTGCCGCTCAGTTAATCCCTTGGCACTCCTCATGGCGACTTATGAAGATGTCATGGACTGTCTCGCACGCGTAATTAACAGTTGCGAATACCCTCTGTTTGAGCAGTGGTGCGATTATATTCTCCTCCAACCGCTGAACGTTTTTATCTGTATGTATGCTTGCGACATTCTTGGAGAACCATCAGATGCTCCTGCCTTTGACCAGAGAAAATTAGGAATCGCAGCTGACCAAATCTTGGAAATAGCCGACGCTTTAGCTTTGGCAAAGATCCAGTCACGAGCGAAGATTTTCGAACCACAACCAACCGACACAGGCGACACGGAATCCGAGCTGCAGAAATACGTGATGGATTTTATGAAAGATATCGAACGGGGACCGGGCATTGGCAACGAGTTTTACGCACATACATTAACATCAAAGCTGAAGAAACAGTATCCGTGGTTCGTCTGGGCGGTGGTCATTACGGATGACGGTCCACCAAACCACACCAGCGTGACGCATTCGGAGAGTTTCGCGGAGGACCTGTTTTTCCAGAGGTCAATGGCATCAAACGATTTCCCCAGCTCGGAAGTGGTCTGTAGCGGAAAACTCTTTGGCGTGATGGTCGTAAAGGGAAAATCACGATTACGTTCAAATGGGAGAACGGTGACGGTTTTCTGGATTCGCGAGGAGGAAATTGCTTATTTGGATCGCAGGTTATATGAAACTCTTCAAGGAACTGATATTCCACAGCTCATCGCAGAAACCGGATTGGAGAATTTGGAACAGTCGTCTTTTAAGGACTTACTGCAGTCACATGGGTTTCAGAGTGTCGTTACCCTGACTGCGTATCCACAACGGTCACACGGGAAATTTGGTTATTGTTGCCGGTTCGATCAGGATCTGAACGCAACATGGCCGGTGGTGATCCAGAATACGTCGGGTCATTTAATACTGTGGCCCATCGGCGTGGATGTTTTGTCAGAGAATGCGGACAGTGACGTTCCGATGGTGAGCCGATTTAAGCGAATGTCCAGTGAAAGCTCGACCGGCACGCGTCGAAAGCAGGAATTGTCTGGAATGAGAAAGGCGCTAACAGAAGACAACTTGTGTGTAAATTCCGGTTTGCAGCGTACCGACAGCACTGACCTGAACGCTAAGCAACGCCCTTTTTCGCTACCTGAGCAGAGGAGTACGGCGGTAGCATCAAAGGAGCCTTCGATTCCAGTTGTAGAGAATTCGATGGCCGAAGTACCTTCACCGTTAGTCCATAACAATTCTGTTGCAATAAATGAGAATAAAGCCGTTCACGAAGCAGTCAATCCTAGATCTTTTTCCACGCCCCATTTTTCAGACGAAAAGGGTCAGAAGCCATCGTTACCGCCGTCTTCGCCGGTTGCATCGAAAATCGTTATCCACTCAACAATCATTGACAGCCGGCACATAATCGAATTTGCCGAAAAGGAGGATGTTTTAGGAGAGGTAAGACGTAGACATGCATCCAAGAGATTCGAGGAGAGCGCTGCATCTTTTCACCCGACAAGTACTCCAGCTTTAAAAAAATCGCTATCGGCAGCGCCATCACAGCGGCACAGCTTGCGTCGGCTGATTTTTCAGAAAATGGGTCGCGAAAATATCGACAACTCACTGCAAAGAGCGTTGCGAGCCAAAGAAAAAGGAAATGCCTGTTTTATGGTATGTGATCAAAGAGATATACACCGGCTCCACATTTTTCCTAACAACAATTGCAAACTCGAGGTGCTTTCGCGCAGATTTTGTGCAATCTTCTTTTTTTGTTAGCAAGGAAATTTGGATAATGCAGTGGAGCAATACGAGAAGATGCAGAAGTTACTGAAGTACTACACGGGTATCGAAGAACAAGCGGAAGTGCAGCGCCGGCAGTTGCTCGCTGCATCCCACGTGAATCTGGCTGCGGTTCATCTGGAACGGTATGACTTAGCCGCAGCTAAGCAGTCGGCTACCAAGGCACTTGGTATCGATCCGGATAATGTCACAGCCTTGTTTAAAAGAGGCGCGGTACGTCTCAAGTTTGCTGTTTTAATGTACAAAATTTCTGCTCTCGTTAGGGTCAAATAATAATTCCCCTTAGAAGATTTTTTGAGAACTAGGTACCCAAGCTTCTCATTTCTCTGTGTTACAGGCGTGCCTTGGACTGACCCTGTATCGTGAGGCGGAGCAGGATTTTCTACAAATCCTACGCTTGTCACCGCAAGAACCCGATGTTTTGTTGTTGCTGGGTCTAGCGCAGAAAGGGAAGAAAGTGAGGCTCAGGGAACGCTTTCAGGAAATCGGCCGTCGAGTTCTAGAAGCACAGTTGTCATGAAAATATTGTAAAAATACGGTGAACATCTGATAAAAGCTTGAACTTTGCCAAGTGTTGACCAATTGACCTGTGCAGGGATGCAGTTAGTATGATTCGAAATACAGACTGTGCAGCGCTGTATTTGACTCCGTGCCTTGTGCAGACTCGTTTTTGCTATTCGACCCGAGATAAAATAATATTTGATCACGAATATATCATGGTTTTCAAAAGAACGAACAGACTAATATACGTATATGTACTTTACAAAGTACAAACACATTTGTACTGTAATGATGTTACGGAACTTCTGAATCAGAGCGATCAAAGGTCACACTGGGAATGTTTTACAGATAAATTTTCAGTATTAGTAATGGTGCACAAAGAGCGAATATTAGAAGACAAGTGCAGAAAGAAAAGAACGAATTTAAGACAAATGTGGGCTGCTATACAAAACGAGGATAAATAAAGTACTGTATAGGGTATCTACTTTGTACTATTAGAGAGGATCAGAAGTCATCACGCATACGCATGTCCAGTTAGTAACACAACATGGAGCATGAAAATACGGGTAATACAACAATCTAAAAAAAGCTTGTACGTGGTATTATATCGACAAAATTAAGAGGTGACGTCCCGGAGCGCGTGAGAAAACAGTTTAATTTGCAGACAATAAAACAACAAAACGTAAATCCAGATATTGCCGTATATCAGACTGAAATACAATGAAATTACTCGTACAAATACCGCCGTTTAGGCAGCTTCCGTATCACTCATCCAGGTGTCTGTGCTGCGTATTTCCTCAGTTTTTACGCAAGAGCATAGCTGATTTTGTTCTCCCGCACGCATTTATACTGTTTCGTTCTATTTTGTACTGTTTCGTCTTTAATAGTTTTTGCTGGCAAGTTGTAAGGAATCAAGAGGGAGTGGTTTTCTGTGCGGCTGGAGCAATCTGAGGTGTCCAACACATTCGCATTCACGCAACGGCGTTGCATTTCCGGTCAGCAGCTTCCTCAGCAGTCTTCCACATACCGTTATAACTGTACCGGAGACCCAGAAGATTAACAACTGCCCTATTGCAGTTAAGTACTGCTGCAAAATTTTACCTTTACATTGCATAGCTTTACGAGATACTAGATATCTTTACGCGCAGTCGTATACGTAACCATTAAACCGTTCAAAGACTTGTTAAAGGCAGTGCTAGTTATCGGTTATAGTCTTACAGCGTGTGTGAATAGCACTTTTATTGAAAATCGTCGTTCCAAAATAAGTATTCCAGTTTTGCTTGCGTGCAGTTTTAACGTCATAACATAGTGAAGGTCTTGGATGATACAAATTAGGAAATCCATTAATTGCACTTTAATGAATGCATGTTTGTCGTTTTCTGAACTCGCGACAAAATTATGCCTTGATCGATCTTCTGCTTATCCGCGGTGGGAGGGAAATTTTTCTTTTATGGTGGGTGACCATGCAGTCATCCGGTTGCATATTCACACAATCGTGTAGCCTTTTGAAACAACAGCGGTGTAGTATTCGAAATGTAACCTTCTCAATTTTCACATAACATTTTCTAGATCCTGGACAGTTTTTTTGTTCGGTAGCCAGGAAATTTGAATAATACGGCGAAGCAATACGAGAAGATGCTAAAGGCTTCAAAGTACCCTGCCGGCATCGAGCAACAGTCTCAAGTGCAGCGCCGACAATTGCTCTTCGCTTCCCAAGTAAATCTGGCTGCGGTCGGTCTGGAACGGAACGGTTAGGAATTGCTAAGCAGTCGTTAGTTGAAAATTGTTTCATTTGATCGGAAATTAAATGAATTATTACAAAGACCTCTTTTCAGTTCCTTACGATTAATACCGAGTAGTTTATTGGCTGCAACGCCCGCTCATCCATTTCTTAAACAGAGAGGCCAGCGGAAGGTAAGCATGTAAAGCGTCACTGAGATTTTATTATCCGCAGTACAACTCTACTATCCTCCAATGACAAAGGATGCATACGGATGCAATCATGCACGGCAATAATTAACCACAGAAACGATACTAGACTTACTGCGACTCCAACAACCCAGAGACACAACCCAGTGAAACACGCCAGATAAGATTCGCTACCGGATGCTCGTACATTCGAACAACCGCTTATGCACGTTGCTATCTGTATAAGACCCACCAGCTGAACAACGGCAAATGCTACAGCTAGACCGGCCATTTTTCTCACCGCAGATACTCGGCTCGATATCTTCACTTCCTAACGCATGCACGAATGGAAATCTGCAAAATTTTAAAAGCTTCTGCATTGCAAAATCGGTTGATTAGTTGATCGTGGTACGAAATGCAGATAATACCTGTTTCTGAGCAGTACAGTTTGTAGCACAGTTTTAAGAGTAAAATGTCCTGCGGATTGGTTGTGTAGGCAAGTTCCCAAAAGTATATTGTTGTATCAGTTGTTGCATCACCCACCCACCGTACAAAATAATAATCATAATTGGGAGGCATAAGAATCGTGGCATTCCGGTAGGTTATATAGCCGTTGGTATTAGGTTTGCCTGGAACATTCAAAGCATCTCTGGAACTGCTTCTGTTATCTCTCAGTACGCCTGAATAATTACCATTAATTACCGCTGCGTTTGGCAGAATATTACCGGTACAGTATGCTAGAGCATTTTTGTCCAGATATTATAGAGAAACGTCAAAGTATGCGAAATTGCGAATACTAAATCTCCATAATATTCCAAATGCCATTTTAACCGGAGGTAAAAACTTCGAGTACGGAATATTCGGCTATATGATCATGAGCATTTGACGTACGTAACTACTTACAAGTTCGATCGATTGCGGCAATGGTCCAAGCGCCCAGTATCAGCTGTGCAAAGATTAACCCAGGATATACCAACAAGCAAGTACTTAAACAGATAATTTTTCCGAAACTGATTTTCCGCCTGCCGAACGCTGATAGGCTGTGGGAGCTGTGTGGATGGTGTCATGATTTTGCGGATTGTTGCTACCAACTTTGCTTGATTTCATACCGAAAAATTCCTATGTCTTCCAAGTCATCACGTTAAAAAGCGTACAGCCATAATCCTTGGCAAGTTGGTACAAGTTAATGCCCTCCCCTGCAACCCGTGTGCCGCAGGAATTTTTGGCAACAGGAAACGTATGAGACGGCTGTTCCGCACTGGTATCGACATTGCTATCTGTATCACTTATGCGCCCGCTGACAGTCAGTTTCGTGGTGGGAGTAGGTGTCGCCATTTTGTCTCCATAAAATGTTCATGAATGTTGCTGAGTGCTTTATTGCGAATTCTAGTCAAACACAGGAGTATGTTGGTAAAAATGGTACATGGCAGCATGCGGTACTTGGCAGTACGCACTACAATTGCAGTGATATGGAACGTTTTGTGTGGCGATGAAAAAATCGGTCAGTAATCCGAATCGATGTGGTAATATGGCAGCCATATTGGTAATTATGGCTACAGGCGTTTGAATCTGTTTATGACAAATTTTCATGCCGATGCTCTGTACGGTGCATAGTGTACAATTATACAGTCACATGGAAGCAACAAACGATGCGAACCGACAATGTTCTGTTTTTTGTGATGCAGTACGTACTTGACATTAATTTACCCAATCCTTAATAACGCAACGATTTTAGTGTAACATGTGACCTAGTACCGCACCAACGAGTAAAATTGGTGTTGGTTAGGGAAATGTAAGAAACCGAAGTAAGTACAATACAACACTACTACGCGCCATAATAAGGAATCCAAATTATAAGGAATCCAAATTAATACTGTAATCTGTCTGTAAATGCTATTATTTTACTTTCTGAGTGAAGACAGAAGAATGTTGATACACTTTAGCATGCGGTGCTGTATTTACAGTATACATTAGACTTACTGTGTCGCAAAGGGAACAGCGCGAAGGTCATCAAATCTGTGTGGTTGCAGGTGACTGATTGGTTTTACAGGGAATATCCGCATGGATGTATCGTTCAGTGTACAAAACAGATAACGATACAAAAGACTATTCAAACCGGCAGTGTTGTTGTTCTTGCATACCTGAACGAGCGTGCCATCGGTTTGTAGAAACAATAAATTCTGATGTTGATGAAGATGTTATTCAGTAGCCAGTGACCCCAGTGTATACGTAGAGTAACACTAAAAGTTAGCTGACAAAGCGCACAAAGGGATGCACGTAAATAATTATTATGAAAAATAAATACGCACTGCCACAAAAACCCACAATCCAAAAAAGACAACCAAAAAGGCAAACCAACATGCAATCCCGAGAATTGCATAACATGAGACACGACATCGTTACCAGGCCCACCAGTTGAAGTATTCCAAATACTACACCTACTATGGCATAAACTTTCGCGTGAGATACTCTGCCTGTTACCGTCACTTGCGACCGCGTGCAGTTCTCTGTAAAAGCAGCAGGGGTACATTTCGTCGTCAAAGCAAACAACCGGTTGACATATTATCAGTTATAAAATGTTATAAAAACAATAAAGCGAAAATCCGAAAACAGTCAAACATACAGCGTGGTCATGATCTTGCAACCACTACTACACGGTTACGCCGTTGCGAACTAAAATTAATTAGAACCAAATTACTTACTTTTCATAAGTGTTTATAATGCTTTAGAGGATGTAACTAGTATTCCAGAATTTGTTGAATCTGGTATTTCGTTAGCGCAGAGCACAGTAAGACAGCAAAATCGACTAGGTGTTCATTGTTTTGAGATCTTAGCGTTTTTTTTCACAGCAATATGAAGTCATCGCACCTGTGCAAGAAACTCCAAAACAGAGTTTTACGAGTAAAATATCCGGCGGATCGGACTCCACCGGATATTCCCAGTAGTACACCGCCGCGTCCATGCTCACATTTCCGACCCATGGTGCAGCGGGAGCACCATTCAGAGGCATCACAATAGTGACGTTTCCGACGGTTATGAAGCCGTTCTCGTCTGGCCTGCCTGGAATGTCAAAGACGTATTCAATAGTACTAGTAGGGAAGTGCACCGCTTTAGGATAGCGTTCTAAAACCGAAGCGAAGCTACACCGTATATTATGACTGCAAAATGTTTAGAAACGTCCGTTTTATGTGCCTTACAGTGTTTGTCGACCATTGCAAGGGTCCAGGCACCCAAAACCAGCTGCACCAATATCAATCCCGCGTATATCATAAGCCCAATGCGGATCCAAACGGCTTTTTTAAGACCGGATTTTCGGTATGGGAACTGTCGATGGGCTGCACATGTTGTTGGGACAGGATCGGCATTAAACTGGTCTGTGTTCTCTTTTCCCGTGACCTTTGCACCAAACAATTCCCGTGTCTTGCCAGACAATACGTCGAATACTACACATCCATACTTTTGAATAAGATGACGTAAAATCGCATTGCTTCCCGCAGTAGTCGGTTTATCGCTGTCTTTAATAGCGACAGGAAATGGAAGAGACGACTGCACCACACTGTGGTCGACATTCCTATCATCAACTCCATCCCGGTTAGTCATGATGGAAGCGGGTGGTTGGGTTGACATTGTTTTTGTCATACAAAATCTCTAAACGCTGCTGTTGTCAGCACGCGGAGCACTTAATTACTGCTGTATGCGGCACTGTTTGCACGCGTTAGAGCGGTAGGCTGGCTGAACTGTGAAGTTATGCTGTTGAAATTTCGTCTGTTGTTTATGTGAAATGCAACGACTATTTTTCACTGCTTCAGGGAGTTGGCAATCTTCATCTGAAACATGTGTTTGCGAGATGATGCAAATCGAAAGCGGTATTGCAATGTAAGCGGCGCGTCGGTCGTCATTTATACTCGTACATAACTATCCGGTATGTCGGTGTTTTGACTGTATTTGTACTGTATCAGCTGGTATGCAGTCAGAAAATCAGCTTATTGTCTTATTACAGTCACAATCATGTGTAAAATCTGTGCATATTACTGTAGCCGCTAGATGAAGTGGCTCCACAGAGTTGGTGTACGGGAAATTCGCACTTGCAAATGTGTATATTGCCTGTGCATTTGTGAATACATCCAGTACACACATTTGCAGGTGCTATTTTCCCGTACACCAACTCTGTGGAGCCACTTCATCTAGCGGCTACAGTACTTTAAAAGCACTGTAAGGACATCAAGACATACGACGACCAAACCAGCACGTCATCGGTTTGGTTAAAGGTTAGAATATGAAGCCAGCCAAACTAGGTATTACTTATGAAATTAATTACCGGATGGAAAGTACCTGACCGCTTAAATTAGCCATCTTTGCATTTGGCTTAGAAAATGGATGACAAAATTGCCAATCTCGACGCAGTGCCATGGCAGATAAAAATAAAATAAAGACCAAAATCATTATCTTGAGATAAAAAATGGGAAAAGAGATAATTTGGTTTCTCCTTAAGAGGGAGCAGTTACTTTCTGAACCACTGCCGGCGGTGTAGCGGTTCCCCGATGGTGCACGTCAAAGGTCAGTCCTCTTCATTAGCCGCGTCGTGGTTTTCCAGTGACGCATGTTCCCCGCATGCACAACGCGTCCGCACCGACCGAATAAATATTCCGTACGCCCACACTATGATACCGGTTAGCAGCAGCAGTAAGCCGGGCAGTTGAAGACGCTCCGGCAGGAACAGTTCCACCAACGGCGTCGGCAGAACGGAGCACCACAAGTAGGGAGCAAAGGCCATCAGCGGCGCCAGAACCAAGTGCGCCCACGATGCGCATACGCAAAACTCCAATTCGCAGCTGATAGCGCGGGTTCCCGTAAATATTTCGAGCACCTTGGAAATGTAGGTTTCTTCTGGCATGCTGGCACGGTGCTTATCCAGGGACTTAAACTGACACCCCATCCATTCAATGGCTTCCGGGCAGAGGCCATCCCAAAAGGTGTTGAACGCCCGGTTCGAGGACTCTTTTGTCGGTCTGGCGTTCGCACGGTCACTATAATTATCAGCGCACCCACTAAACGATTACATTCTCACGAAGACATTTATTGTATAGCAGATAAATTTAGGCCTACAAAACTCCACCCTAGTGAATACCACAACGAGATTATTGTTGTTTAGCGAAGCTAGCGGAAGCACAGGGCGTACTCTGCTTCGTTTTCTTCCCGATTCGTATCTGACTGAACGGCGGCCGCAAGCGCTCGAGTGCAGAATTTTGCAAGGTGATCGAGGCCCATCTCCAGTGGCATAGCACCGCAATCGGGGGGCTGGAATGCCACCGCCACCAGAGGTAAGCAAGCAAGGATCAATAACACCCCGCTCCAGGCCAACGGCCATCCAACGGAGTATGTAGCTATCAGCAGGGAGTAGAGCCGGGAATCAGAACTGTTCACATGCTGGGCGGCCAGGTTCTCCGATGCTCGGCACGGCCAGTACGACAGCATGGCGGTGCCTGGTTTGTACTCCTGAAAGATAAATGTCACCGCTTGGGATGATATTGATTGCTGTAATACTTTAAAGTACAAAAGTTTTCACAGTGATTTCTCAGCGTTTGTTATAAGTTTGGGGTTTTTAAGAACTGTTTATGTCCTTTGCTTTTCAGGGTTCTTTGCGCACACAAATTTCTAAAGTCAGTGTAGATATCTTGGCTCGTTTAGGCTTGAGATTTAGGCTTCGTAATAATTTTCAAACCTCTCGAGAAACTTGATTAGTCTTACCGTTGGACTTTCGAAAGTATCCCGACAGATTTGGCATCTGGTTTCTCGGTAAGAGTAAAGGAATGGGCAAAGCTCTCCAAATTCGTTCCGCTACTCCAATGTCTGACAATGAGGAACTTGGCGCATATTGGCCACGCCTTCATGAAACAGAAATACAGAGAAAAAACGCTGCCACCCGGCGAATCTTCGAAATAGTATGTCCATGCAAATGCCGAATGCGGGGTTTCTTTTGGAACGATGACGGTACTTCAAGGGAACTACGCTTCTTACGTTCGGCAATCAAGATTTTCCAACCCAAAAGTTGACTACAACAATAGTATACGATATACCATTTGTGATTACTGGAATTAATTATCTACATTGATTGACTCGAAAACCAATAAACCATATCTGCAATCAGCAGTACTGGCCCTTTGCTGGGTAGCGCTTACTGGATGTCGTTAGCAATGTACGAGAAACAAGTCTTAGACGACCACAATCCCAAAATCCTGCCTGTCGAATGAATGCACAGACCGCAGAAGAAGCGGAGGCGATACGGGAACTCGCTTTCGTGACCGTGAATACTCATGATCACCGGCAAAAGGAAATCGGCGACGATGAGAGGCGCCACCGCAACGACTAAGCTTGCTATCACGGATATTAGCCACATAGTCCCCAGTAATACCGCGTTCAGCGCCGTTCGTAGCGGATGATACGAGGCGTTGAGGAAATCCAGTACATTCTCCGCATTATCACGGTAACCGAAGAATTTCGTGATCGTGCGGCAGTATCGCAGATGTTGCTGGCCGATGGAGTAGCGCCAGTGTCGGTTGACCACGAGCGAACTGGCCAGCGAAACAAACAAGATGGTGGCCAGCCCAACGGTGTAGGCAGCGGAACGGCGATTCAGTGGGGTTGCTGGTGCCGGTTGCATGGAGTTCGTGCTTATCGGGTGGAACGGCTCCTGAGAAATGTTGAACAGTGGCGTTCCGGATGAATTGATCCGATCCGGGGAAGATTCGTTTAGCGCCTGAGAAAAATGTACCAGGCATTGTATAACAAGGTAAATGCACCACATGACTGATAGACCCTATGTCCAGCTGTGACGCGAAACTCTGGGAGGGAAACTGAAGAACTGCAGGAAAGTTACGTCGATTTTTTTGCATAAACCGTATTGCTAGCAAATTGTCGGTTGTGCCACTTAAAGTGAGTAAAATATAAAAAAATTTGAGCTACTGTGTATCATGCGACATTGAAGCTGTATTACAAGCCCATCCAACAATTCTTTGACCGCTGTAAGCGCAGCGCATATAAATCGCGCATAGTAATGCAAATACGCATCGTAGTGTAGTGGCAGATATATTTATAAATATTCAACCAATATATTAGACCACAATTAATAGACCATTATTAGACCAACGTGGAATCAATCATCTTTAGCCCGGGCATGTTGCAATCAGTAATTTGAAAGTAATATGGATATTAAGTACCACCGCGATATTGTATTGCAAAGCAAAGATAATACTGTTACAAAAGCATAAAATTAATATAAATTATGATGGCAATAAATAATGCTAAACATATTACATTGTATATCACAGATACAGTAACTGCAACACATGCAGATTTGGTGCTTATTTACGCAGAATACGCAGACCCATGTGGCGTGACGTGTCGAAGCACATTAAATGGCTCAAGCCCACGTTTCTTTAAATTCCCGCTTACAGCGGTCAAAGAATTGTTGGATGGGCTTGTACATACATTCACGGTACAGTGCATTGCTTGTTAGTCTGCTTTGTACTGAAGAACCAAGAAAAGTAAAGTTTTCTAAATGGCTATGTAGTTAGGCCGGTCAACCTTTAATATATTGTCCCTTTTCCGTCCCCGTGAGGAAATGGGACAGTATGGGTTGGGCACGCTCAGCCAAGTGTGACGGACGACCTATCACAACGTTGGCATAAAAATTTTTAAAAGCGAACATACATAGTCAATTATTGTGTCGGACAATCCAGTTTTTATCAGAAAGTTCCAAAAGGACCACATAACTACAGTTGGTGCTCTTTATACTTTGTGTAGCGGGGTACTTGTTTTAAAAAAATAATAACGAATATGCTTTTTAATTTGCAAGCCAAGAAATTCCTAAGAAATCAGAAACTCGGCATACTATTAATTACAGAATAAAAAATTATTGGTGTTTCTCTTAGTAAAATCATGAAAGAGCCCAAGGTAGATCGAGTCAAATATACGCACAAAAATTACTCACAATGACAGATTGCTGAGATGTAATATTAAGTGGCTTGAGCATAGTCACATTCCCGTGAGGATCTGCTTTTCTGGGAAGGCCCGGAAACCCAAAATCAGGCCGGAGTGGAATGCAAAGAAGATGACAACGCACGCTTCGATCAGGGTTTCCTGGTAGGCCCAGTCGAGATTTCGACTGAGGAGGCACTGAATGGTCCTGTAGAACCTCGCCATGGTGGCAACAGTTGTAGAAACCTAAAAACCAGAAGTTTTATTGCAGTACAAACAGATAAATCCACCGATTAGAACCGAGAACTGCAGGGTCTAATCTAGAGTAGCGACGGGTTTCTCCAGTTAGCTCGTTATATAGCATATAGTGGCGTTGTTCTATCAAGACACTGCCACTGCCATCGATCCAAGCAGTAGTAAATTTTTGTAAGCACTTCTATCGCTGTAGTTTGGCATTTGCCGGTTGCATTTCACACATGTACGACAGAAGACACAGGAATGAACAGATATACAAGCCCGTTTTCAAACCTGTAGACCGCTGTAAGCGCGACGCAGTGAATAATAAGCGCACAGTTAAAGGCTAGATTTTATCTACTCTACACTGTCGTAGAGGCACTCAGTCTATCTCATACTTGTCTCTCTCACACACCCCTCACACCGCAGTGGCGTTAATGACCAATACGCCGTGACGTGCCGAAGCACCTTGAATGGCTCAAGCCCACGTTTTTCAAATATCCCGCTTACAGCGGTCTACAGGTTTGAAAACGGGCTTGTAGCATAATCGTATTGCTACCGACTCGGCCTACCGGTACTTTGCTAGCCGGGTAAACCGCTATCGATTTCGCATGTTTTGTGATTGCTGTTAGGAGGAGAACGGTACCGAATTCATGACAACGATTTTCAGGGTAAATCGCGGTGCACGAGTAAATGGCATCCATCGACAAACCACCGGTAATGCCTCTACAGTTTGCTTCATGTAGCTTCACGGAGTTTCGCAGGGCTTTCTTTGATTCTGTGTTGTTGTGGGGCGAAAATTGCGCGCTAACTAAGAAGATCACCGGCTGTACTTCTGATTCATATAACTTGTCCACCTCAGGCCGACTACCAGAGTTAGATTTGTAAAATGTTTGCAGTTGTGCACAATAATTTTTTGTTGATTTTTAACGATCAACGGATGCAGACTGAAACCTAAAGTGCATGACGTAATGTAACGTGTAGTAGTAAATTAACAATAAGCGAATATAAAACTGCAATATCCCGTCGTCCATTCTCCGGAGGCTGCAAGTGCAAATAATACCAGTCGTAAATGTCCGTCCGTACACTGACGCCGTCAGCCTTTTTTTAAGCCACAGTCTTTTTATGTTTGGCATCTTACAATTGTTAAGCGTTGTTTTTGTGTCAAATTAAGCCGCAAAGGCATCGGTGGTGTGCCAGCGCGAAGCAAAGTTAAAAACTGTTCTTTTTTACTTTTGCAAAAGTACTCGTACTATACATACGATCCGCGTTATATTTGGAAATAGAAAAAAATAAATAAAATGTAAGGATCCAATAGTATTATAGCGTATAACTGGAGAATTGTCAGAGACCGCTCACTCGAGGCGGTAGACACCTCTTGTGGCTTTGCTCTGTCGCCCGCCCGCACATGGCTACTCCATTCGTGCCGCGCTATTACGCTGCTTACTCAGCGTACACTTTGTCTACGCTGACCAATCAGCGCATTTCTCTGCACTCTTGGGGGTGGAGCCCTGCGCCTACGGGCGATTCCATGCTTTGCAGCATCAGCAGTTGCATACCCGCAGCACGCGGAATCATTAATCACGATTCCTCACCAGCGCACTGCAGGCACTTTTTCCAGCTTTTCCCGCATTGGGTTTTCTGTTGGTTTTTGTGTTGTTGCTTTATTGTTATCACAATAAAGGCTGTATTTGCCCCATTTCTTCCTGCTTCTGTGTCTGATCTGACATGGTAGCAGCATCGTTCGGTTTTCTTTCCGACGAGGCCTCTGATCCCCAGTGAAGGCATCGGTCGAACTACGCTGATCGCCTATAAGTAGGCCAGCAAACCCGCGACCATCATCTCCTGCATCATACAGACTTCACTGGAAGTCTGCAGCGCGACGGATTACATACGGGTCGGCGCCTAAAAGTAGGTCCCCCGCAGCTTTGGCTCCCGGCGCAAAAACTGCGTTCGGTACGTCCCAGTTGTCCAATTAAGCGCCCTACCGGGTTGCGTTGATACGGGTCAGCGCCTAAAAGTAGGCCTCCCGCAGCTTTGGCTCCCGGCGCAAAAACTGCGCTCGGTACGGTCCTGTTACACCATTACGCCCTATCGGGTGCGCTGCGGCCCTTACGGTTGAAAAAGGGTGAAGGGGAACGACGGAGCAGCATTGTCTGGAGCGAATAACCGCCGGTAAGACCTGCTGTGACGCGTAGGTTTTCGTAGAACTTTTTGAAAATTCGAGGTTTCTGCGTAGAACCTAACTAAAACCCCTCATAACTTTTTAACCGCTCATCCGATTTGCTTAAAATTGGCATTTTTGGATTCCTCGTAAAATTCTGTCCTAGAAAAATAGAACAGAACTCTCGAGAAAATTTTCTGTGAATTTTAACGAATTATCGGCGAAAAACAACCGCCATTTTGTCCAGCCGGAATTTTCGCGAAAAAGTCGCGTGACGTCAGAGTGGTAACTTTCCATAAATTTCTGACCAATCAGAACGCGTGGAAACTTCCCCGTGTTATAGCAGTCGTAGTGACTCATACTTTTTTGCATTTTTTGCTCACGGCACGCTACTCGTGACGTAGAGCTTTTTGCAAGACCATTTCGTACGTGACGTCACACTGGTCAGTAACGTAACATAGGGCCATAGGAAGCTAACGCTAAACCTGAGCTCTAGCGTACCTGACCAGCACCAACCAGCGACAGCGATCCAACCCGTTCCGGTCCGGACCAAGACCAAAGAAATCTCCTAAGTCCCAAATACCATGGGCCAAACTGAAAGCGCCTTGGCCAAGGTGATGCCATACACCAGCCATGAGCAACTCCAACGGAGATTGCTCAGTCCAATGGACGGGCGCCAACCCAACGAATACAAAAAGCAACTGGGGAAGAACTACGCTACACGCGACCCACCGGGAACATACGGTTTCCGCAGGGCCAAACAGAGCGGTTCTGAACCAGACGAGCCAAACTCGGCCGGCTCAACGAGTTCGGTCGAGGCCAAAGCCAGGCGGGACAGACAAATCCTGCCGGCTGACCTGGAAACCAGCGACGAAAGTCTGGATGCCACCCGGGACGACACATTCCAGGAGGCATCCGACGAACTGTCCGAGGCCAACCAGCCTCTGGACAGCCAACCTGGCGCCGATAGGACGGCCCAGGCCAACAGTGTCCCTCGGGACTTGGCGCACCAACCGGCCATACCTGGTCCGGGCCAAGCCCAACCTGCGGCGCCAACGGCAGCCACAGGTGAGGACAAGACACGCATCGATGGACCAGGGCCAAACAACTTGGCCCGGTCCAACCTTGATGTCCAGGATCTGACAGCACGTCCAACCCTACCGGGCTCGGACCAGATCCAACCTGAGGCACCAACGGTGGCCAAAGGTGGACGCAAGGTAAAGGGCCAAGCCAAAAAGGCTGGTCCAAAGGCACATGACCAGGGCCAACAGCCCGTGAGTCAGTCGCCCATCATGTTTGAAGTTGATGGCTCAACCCCTGCAACGCCATCGCCAACCAATGACGTCATCGGCGCGTCTGGCCCGTCCAAACCGGACGAAGAGCCAATTGTGGACCTGGCACAACTTAGCAGTGCCACAGCCAGGATGGACCTAAACCGGCCTTCCTGGGACACAACCCGCGCCAGCGTCACCCCGCCAAAGCTGAACCAGGCAACCCGGCCCGAAGAAATCGACGAAGTCGACCAACTCAGGACCACAGTACGGGACCTGACTAAACAGCTGGCGGACATGGCAGAAGCGGCCCTGCTATCCGAACGTTGGATGCAGGATGAGATCTGCCGACATAAAAACCTCGCGGTCCAATCGGACGCAGAGGCTAAACGTGTCTCGGCCATACTGGCCCAGACCCAACTTGAGCTAACTCAGCTCAAGTTGTCACCATGTCCTAACGCTGAGCGAGACCAGCTCAACAGGACAATCCACAGCCTAGAAACGGCTGTGGCGGGCCTAGAAGCCCTGCTCACCTCTACGAGGACTGAGCTGGCCAAAGCCAGGGATGACTTGGCTGCGGCCCGGACCACCATTGACGACACCGACTCTGAGGCGGACCGCCTACAGAGAGAAAACGAGCGTCTCACCGAAGACATGGCCAACCTGCAGGACGAAATCAACCGCCTGCGGAACGGCTACAACCTCCTTTATGAGAGTCACCAGAACCTCATGAAGACTATCCAACAAGGAGGACTGATGAGCCAAACGGTTCAGCAGAAGGAGGCACAGAACGTGCAACTCCAGCAACAGATCGTTGCCCTCCAGAGCCAGCTCAACACCGAAGCAACTATTCGGGTCCAACTTGAGCAAAATAGCGCCATTGGACATCAGAACTTCGTCCAATTGGAGCAGGCCTTCAACCAAGCCAAACAGGTGATCCAGGGCCAACATGACCGGATCATCACTTTGGAGGCCAATAACGCCGGCCTGGTCAAAGACTACCAGGCGGCCACCCAACGCATCACGGAACTGAACGAGGACTTGGAAAGGCTAAGCACGGAGAACGCCTGCTTAGATGCGGAGAAATCACACCTCGCAGACATAAACTCCGAGTTGTCCGCAGAACCACCGTCCTACCATACCTTTCCGGACTCGGATACACAACGTCGACAAGAAAAAGTCGACGAGGCTTTGCGGCAGGGCCAACGCTTCTATCGAGAGCCAGTGTATCATCAGCAGCATTACCATGCGAATATGGCTGTGGAAGGACCATCGGTTGGACATCCCCAACGGGGCCAACCATACCCACGCCTCCCAGCCCGGTGGACCGTGGAACATCAACGGCGACAGTAACACTGCCGCCACCACCGATCCCGGTCACCACAACAGCCACTATCGGTCCAACGACGGTAGTGACACCCGCAACGCAGACGCATCCGTCTACTCAAGCGGGCCAAGCTTTGACCCAAGCCAGGCAATACCCAGCCACAGCTACTTTGGGTCAAGGCCACAGTACCCGTCCTTGTATCCGTCTATATTCCCGAACATGGACTTCACTTTTAGTCCACATCCGGTCACAAGCCAGGCTCACACCAGCGGCATGGATCCAAACCGGACCAGCCTGCCGAGCCCAATGTTCGGGCCACCAGCCACAAGGACAGATGGGAGGCCAAAGTGGTACACCAACGGTGCAACCACCACTAGTAGGCCAACTAAGCCTATTTGGCCCTCCTATCTCGGCGGCAGCCCAAA